GTAAAGTAAATCGTACTATTCTCAAGACTGTAAGCACGAGCAAATTGAAAATTTATTTTACAGAATGTAAAAGTACTTTATAGTTAGCTTTGAAGTTTTAAGAGTATACTTATAAGATGATCACTTATTTGCCAGAAAAGTAAAGTAAATTTTTAACATAAAAAGGCGCCTGTTCCTATATTATTGACCTGCCAATTTCATAAAATTTGCTAGAATTCCAACGCATATTATTTTACATTTCTCTCCGTGTAGAAAGAACGAATACGAAGAGACGAAATGACGAAGTGGTTCCTTACACGCTTGGAGCAACATGCTCAAGAATTTACATCATGCGTTACTAGCGCGTGATCGCTGTGCGAAAGTTCGCTATTGTTGTATGGAAGTAGCGATGAAAATAGTGCGTGATGAAAATGATTGCTTTTTAAAATTATCATTTTATTCCGTAATCAAGGAACGCATGGTCATATTTGATACTGTTATGTTGCAGTTTCCTGGTGAGTGCATCCTCACATACATGGAGTTTCAGTTGGATAGCGCAGAATACTGCCAGGCTCAACACAAATAGAGAGACACGCCCATACACCCTGACAATTATTAGACATCGTTAAGGTAAAGAGAGGAAGGCTAGAAACACCTTGGAGAAAGAAAGAAAGATATTAAAGTAGTAGAGAATTATCACCGGGGAAGCCAGAAAAATCATCAACTAGTCATCACGCAAGACATAGAAGAATTTAATAGAAATTATTAATTTACCTTAGTAGATGCAAGCATCGTAGATACTGAGCGCACCTGTCACAGGAGCACCCAGTGCCAAATAGGTAAGAGTAGCACCTCTAAGAAGAAAAGCCTGTAAAAAAGCTTCTTCTCCATCCTAATAATTAAATTATATTCATCATCTACAATTGATTTCAGGTAATCTTCCGTGAATTATAGTCAAAAAGTTTTAAGTGGGAAGAATAAAGCGCATATCAACACCGCCTAATGTAACGTAGCCCTTACTTTTTCGGCGAAGTTCGCATCCCGACGATCCTTTCTAAATTCTACATGTAAACCCACGGTTCTGTCCTCTGTAAAAAAATAATATATTCTATTAGTTAAATGAAAAACAACTTTATAAGACTGACATTTAATGGGCTAAGTTGTCAAATCCAGCCTTTGTCGCTTCGTATAGTGTGGCACACGTACGAGATCTTTAAGAGTTAAAAACAATAAGAGAGGATAGATTTATAACCATCTCTGTGGTTAAGAAGGAAATGAGCAACATGAGGGTGAAGGACATCAGACCGGCGCCCGCCGAGATTGAATACAAAAACATGAAGTTCCTCATTACTGATCGGCCCAATGATCAAACCATCCATACCTTTATTCAAGTTAGTATACGAACTGTCCGCGAGACATTGCGCCAAATCTTTATTTTTATTCCTATCTATTATAAATTGCATTAAATTTCTTTAATAGGAACTGAAAAAGCACAATGTAAAGGAGGTGGTAAGAGTCTGCGAACCAACGTACAAAGTAGAGGAACTGAAATCAGAAGGGATCAATGTGATAGATTTGGTATTCGACGATGGTACATTTCCACCAAACGAGGTAAAGTTTTTATTTTCGGTCTATTTTTATTGAAATAAAAGTAGGAAAATTCGAATGAAAATAAATCGTTTGTATGTTTTCCATTATAAATCTTCATATAAATCTTCTAGGTGGTAGATGAATGGTTCGAGTTGCTAAAAAACCGATTCCGAGAATCACCTGACGCATGTGTGGCGGTGCATTGTGTCGCGGGTCTTGGTAGAGCACCGGTCTTGGTTGCGATAGCTCTCATTGAACTTGGGCTCAAGTTCGAAGATGCTGTTGCCCTTATCAGAGAGTAAGTCATCTTATGTAACGCACAACACACTCCGTAATCTTTGATTATTCAAACAATGGAATACGTTACTGTGAAATACAAAACAGAATTTGTTATGATTTTTTTCTCTCTTTGTTCTAGAAAAAGACGAGGCGCCATAAACGCGAAGCAGTTAACTTTTCTTGAAAAGTATCGTCCTAAATCTCGATTGAAGCTCAAGAATGGACAAAAAAATTCCTGCTGCAAAGATGGGGAAAAAAGTCACACTAATTCATACTGATTGGTATAAATGTGTAGAATTTTGCGCCTGACAACAAGTGGCATATTGTAGCAAATCTGTTCTGAATGGTCTATCACTGGAAATGCAACGTTGCTTGATAACTATCAATCAACTTTGAAGTATATTTTGCATTACTCAATTTTATATTTCGGGATGAGCTATATAACGTAGAATACGATTCAAAATCGTTGTTATTTCCGTTTATGAAGATACATTATATGTTATTTTTGATACTTGATTAATATTGACCATTGAAGAACAAAAGTTAAATCTTGAAATGGTAATAATTATTTTTAAAAATCAATTAATTATATTATTGCCATTTAACCTTACTTATTTGTAAATCGTGACGTAAAAGTTGTTCAAATTATGCAACATACTTATCTTTTTCTTAAGACCAAAATTCTTTATAAACACTTTGTAATAAACAAAAAGAGAATATGATTTTCCTAATTAGAAAAGCGAAAAATGTAGGAAAATCAATATAATTGTAATGAATGTGACACATTCAATATATTATCGATTTATTTCATTAAGATAGTAAATTATGTTGCGTTCGTGTGATATACACACATATACACACGCAAGCATACACACAACAGAAATAAAGAATTTATAATTTGCAAATATATAATCTCTAGAAAATGCTACACATTTGATTGCAAACTAAATTTCAAGATGTGTAAAAGTCCGAATTGGAATTTTTAATTTACATATAATTAATATTTACATCTAATTATATTTCTTTTTAAATAAAATATATCGAAGTAATTTGCTTTGAACATCAAATACGATAATACTTTTTAGGAAGATTTTATATAGATTTTTCGCATGCGATCGAAATAAAATGAAAATACATATTTATATTCTTTTTAAAAAATGGCTTTTCACAGACAGTTTTTTTCACATACAATTTATCTCTGTTATAACTGCAAAATAAGAAATTTCAATATCAAAATCATTTCTACAATCGAGACATAATAAAGGAGAATCGATTTTACGCTAAAAAAAATTATACATTTGCATCTTAAACACATCACACTTATATAACATGACATTGCAATATATTGTCTTCTTTTTCTTTCTTTTATTATACTATATTTTTATTATATATATAAAATTCTATTAATTATAATTAATATTAATTTTATTTACTTAAATATTAGCGACAATTTATGTTTGGATTACACATTTTGTAATTTATGTTTGGATTATACATTTTTGATACTTGATTTGCAATGATTTGATAGATAAAACATGAATTGCAGAGCATTAAAGCTCTAAAGTATTTCAAATTAAATTTAAGATATTTTTAATTTGAAAAACAAACGACAAACACATTACGTTGCATTTCCAATGGCATGCCGAACCGCTGATGGATGTTTTTAACTCTTATTGGACTTGGAATCTGCGTTAACTTGAGTGATGGATAATGAGAAACTAATGTGAAGCAAATCACTCCAGAGCTGTATATCACGTATTACCATAGCTCAATGACAATTTTATCAAAATCTTTGCATATCTAACTTTTAGTCAAAGTAGATTTTTCAATCTGGTATACAAACATATTATGTAAAGTCATCATCGTCTTCTATTTTGGTAAAATTGTCAATGATGCTGTGTACGCCACACTAAACTGTGTTCAAAGGATAGAAAAATTCACTCGTAAAATAATAATGAAATATAATACTTAGAACATTTCACGTGTCTGCTGATTTCATGTGAATGTACGTTATTTTGCTATGCTATCTGCTTCTGATTATCTTTATTCAACAATGCGTACCGGAAATGAAACTATTGCACAATGGTTGTGTGGCAATCAAGTCTGATTGCTATGTATTACTACATTCAACCAAACAAATTTAATTGCCATTCCCGAGACACCCAAGAGATTCGCGCTGTTGTGTTCCAGAACATGATACCAATGATTACGTATCATTATACGTTTATTAATCGTGTATTGGCAATTTACCTCCTATACTAAGCGATAACTAAACACGGTTGACATAATCGATTAGAAATCGATTACTTAGCTACCAAATAAAAGACAGGAGACAACTTTAATTTACTTTTATATACGTATTCTCTAACGAGTGACAATGGGGTACATTCACTAGAATCGCAGACTCGAATCGAAATTAAAATCTGATACCGCTCCTTTTTTGTAATATTAAAAACTGCAATATTTTTTACCAGAGGATGGGACGAGGGATATTCGGATATATATAAAAACAAATGATTCAACCTTAGAGGCAAAAGTATCATTACTTTTATTCGTTTAATTTTAGTTCAATTATGGTAATTACAGCAATTTAACATTTTAATTTTTTTAATACAATTCTTTTCTAAAAAAAAATCATACGATATTCGTGATGAAATAGATATTACTTTAATAGTTACCAGTATAATTTTCATTTTTTTTTTTAATTATTACCCTTGCGCATCGATTCACTTCTTCAAGGTGTAATTAAATTGCTAAATAATTTCTTTTTATATCTGTGATATAATTTTCTTAATATACATTAAAAAAAAAGTATAGACTTAGAAGCAGACTGTGGTTATTAAAGCTGTGATGCTAACAGTTGTAGAAAATTATATATGTTGTTGTTTTATTGGAAATTAATATTCAATTATAAAAAAAATATAACATGTAAAAATTGCTCTGCTGTGCAATAACAATACATAATCGTATTTATAAACGAAGCATGCAAAATATGAAATATTTTATTTCTCGAAGAAATGAATCGAATTGCTGCAATATATTAATGTTACACAAAAAACAAATGCAATTATAATGGAAATTATTTTTTTTAAATTACTTGATGTCGATCTAAATAATACAATAATTTTATGTATTGATCAAGATCTCTTGTGTTTAATCATATGTCTAATGTGAATATTTCAAGGAAGAACAATTTAGATAGCAAAGAAATCCTCTATTTTGAACCGACATAAAATAAGAACAATCACTCCCTACAAATTGATTAAACAAGAAATAAAAAATAACGAGTTAGCGCAATTTATAAATAAATATTACTGTTTAATTTTTCAATATAATTTCCTATCTCTATATCATTACACAATTAGTTTTAATTAAATTAAACATTAAATTAAATCGTTTTGTTACATTGTAAACATCAATTATGAAATAAAAAGGAATGGAAGTTGTTTTGTGAAAAAAGAAACGTTTTATAATAACTCTTATACCTTGATGTATATTGAATATAAATAAATTTTTTTGGCTTTATTCTTATCCCCAAAGAAATACGAAATACTTATGTATCTTTCATGTACGGTTCTTTGCAATATAATAATATATATTGTAAAAGAAATATATTAGCGAAATGGTATAATATTATAGACATTTAATATATAAAGAAACTATCTATACTTGTATACCTTCATTTTCATCAAATTTAATTTTTTGTAACTTATTACAAAAACATATCATCATATTGTGGAGGAGGTAAATGGTCATCATCGGGTCTACGACGATGTGGTCTCATTGGATCCAATTCAGGTGGACCAAAAGGGTCGAATCTTGCACCAGGTGGTATCGCATTTCTGCAATATTACATTTAAATTAATTCTTAAATTAAAAAATAGATTCTCACACACGCATGCATTAGTTTAGTCATATAACATACGGCGGCAATACTCCAGGTATTCCTAAACCTCCCGGTGAACGTCCAATTTGACGACGCCTCGTGTCAAATGGATCGAATATCATACCTCCACCTTCTCCAAATGGATTAAGATCTCTACTTCCTATACCCACATATTCAGGTCTAATAATAAAAATTAAATAATCTGAACTAAAATACCATTCATTATAGATCATTTAAGATAGAATAATATATTGGATGTCTAATGAAAAGACATCTTGTATATCATTAGAAAGGAATAATAAAATTTACAAAGCAATATATAAGTTTGCGCATTATTATACATAATAAAATATAATAATATCAATTTCTCTATAAATGCTGCAGTCTAAATTCTTTTTTTACTTAAGATATAATTCAAAAATCTGAAGTGATATAAAAAATCTTATGTGGACATAATTATAAAAAAATATTTATATGGACATTAATTAAATTAATATATTGAAAAATTACCGATTTAATCCTCGATTACTGGATATCCTCAATGGAGAATCAGCTGAAGGATCAATGGGAGGAACCTCATTCCTTCCAGAGGAACTTCCGGGATTATTTAGTACGGTTGTTTGGGTCCCTGCTTCGTTAGAGCATATAGTACTTACAAAATCTTTTTGTATATTATGTAAAATTGTTTGATAGGATGGTATTACAGTCTCTAAAGGTCCATGTAATGCAGATACAGTTTCCTCGATAGGGAACGAAATGTTAGAAACAGAATTATCTTGGTGCTTCTATAAGAATATAATATTCAATAAATGTTTTATAGAGGTAATCGCTCTAATAATTAGTTAATTTTGACAATTTGCTGCTGTTATAATTATTACCATCAAATTCAATAATAAATCTGTATCTGATTTGACTCCAAGAAGTACATGTAATTTTTCATCTTTTACATAACGTAGTGAATAATTGGGACGTGAATTCCATTCTGTTGGAAGTAATTCAGAACCTTTTTCTGATGCATTAAACGCTGCCTAAAGAATTATAAATTTGAATGTCATTTTAAAAATAATTACAACATATGATGCATTATCTGTACATATCCGAAATTCTTATTAAACACTTGATAAATATCTATGTTGTGATACATACTCTAATTTAATATATTTAATCTAAGCTGGATCTTACGATACTTAAATACACAATTATTTAAACATTAAGCATCCAGCTTCGACCGTTATAGGCTTTAATTCTTATTTGACATATATTCAAATTATATGATTTTAATAAATCGTTTATTATTAATATATTTGATAACGCTCTTGAAAAACGCTGTTTAAATCCAAGTAAATTACATTTAGTAGTAAATCGTAATTATAAAGTATTTTTTATGAAAACTTTATATAGGTTAGAATTTATGTCATGTCAAAGAACATTATAAAAAATGCTTTTAACTTATAAGAATGATGAAAATATATAAAATTACGATATTGAACAACACGCAGAGTGACGAACAGCATCGAAAGATGTTTATCTTATCATCAGAACTTACATCATCTCCTATGCCAATGCATCTAAATCCAGATTTTGTCAAGTACCAATGTATGAATAGAATTATTACGTCTTCCTTTTTATGGATATCATCATAATAGAGTTTTTGAAAGAGCTCAAAGCCAAATACATTATTTGTGACATCAATCATCCTGATGAATTCTTCTTTTTCTTTTCCCAAGATTTTCAGCCTCCAAAAGCTGGCTAATCATGCAGACGAATAACTTTTTTGGAAAAAACTTCAAGGAGCTAATAGCCTTTCTCAGTAACCTCAATTAATAGCAAACCGATGAATTAGCTTGCAAGTTTTTCAAGTATATATACGCCATTTATTACATTTGTCTTTTCATCGATACGATTTACGCTCTATCTTGCATTACAACTGTTGAATTGTATGCTATAGACCTCTATCGCCTCTACGCTCATTGGTATTTCCATTTTCCATGCTTACGTCAAGCTGCCGTCCCATGAAGCGAAAATTTACAGCGGAATGGAACAGTCACCAATCACACTCTGCAGTCATTAGGGGCTCTGCACAATAAAAGGAACAGAGAACAGAGAATTTCAACCTATAAAAAAATCGTGTATTGTGGAATACACAGTTTCTGATAGATTGAAATTTTTATTTTCTGTTCTCTGTTCCCTTTATTATGCGAAACCCTTAAGAATTTCAACCTATCAGAAATCATGTACTGTAAATAATAGTCATCATAAAAATTAAACGAGCAGTTAAAATAAAATAAAGGGAAGATTAAATGAGTTCATTCATGATTCACAAAGAGTTAATAACTTATATAATGTAGAAAAACACATACATATTTGCAATGAGATATTATAAACTAAACTTCTATATATTGGGTCATCTAAAAAGTATCCGCGGTACTTTGTCACTAGATATATGACCATCAACACACATCTAGTGACAAAAAACCGCGGATACTTTTTAGATGACCCAATATTTTATTATGCGCGTAGTGTTGTAAAATAAATTCTAAATAAACTGATGCAAGAGACATATGATAATATATTTATCTTTTATATCTCTCTTTTATATGTTGTACAGTTGAACCTCTATAAAAGTAACTTATCGGAACCGACCGACTTCCAAAAGTAAGCAAAAGCGCCCGAGCTTATGTGCTCGATTATTACAATATATGGGAGACTAGGACATAACTTTTATGGAGGTTAAAATGGAGATTAATTTTACGGAAGTTCAACTGTACATACAGTTTTACAATTCATGTAATATTTTTCAGTCTCCAATAAAAAAATGATGTATTAAATTTTATATATATATCTTTCTTTTCTTTATCAAAATATTCCTTAATAAAAGTATAAGAAATAATTTTTATTTGATTTATTTTAGTATATTTTTAAAAGCATAAATCAAAATGAATGCATTTTTTATTAGTTGTTTTTTAGTTAGGTTGAAGGATATATACTGACATAACTGATTTTTTCCTTTCTTTAAAGCATCTATTTTGTATCAAAATACGTGTACATTTTAAAAATAAATTTTTATAATCTATCTATTCAACATCTTGAAGGCATCTTATTAGTTAACTAAGTACCAATTAAACACAAGATAAAAATTCGGTAAATTTAAATGTGAAAGTTTTATCAAACTATGTAAATACCTTTTATTAATTAAATCTTGTCATTTTTTGATGTAATCTTTTTCTTCCAAGACATTACTCATAATTTGTAAAATATTGATATATGTATCTATTAATTTTATATTATTACAATATTTAATTTTAATCGTGTGCATATGCGTGTATGTATATATCAATTGAGTATAAATGTACATGTTTCTATGTTTTGTACATAAAAATATATTTACTGAGAGTTAAAAGAAAATACTAATTATAACAGATGTCGTAATATAAAAGTCGTAATATAAAGAAATTAAATAAATATATCATTAATAATTAATATAATGTTCAATTGAAATATTAATAATCTGAATCAGCATCAGTGTCTATGTCATATACAGATTCTGATTGATTGCCATCAATTTCTTCTTCGCTTTCAGGTTGTGATTTTTCCTTTTGATCTAAAGCGTATCGCCTCCAAGGAAATCTAGAAAATGCATAATTTATGAAATTTCATATATAATATTTCTCAGTCTTTAATAAAAAAATATATTAAAATAATATATTTACCTCTTTTTTTTATCAAAACATTCCTCAATAAAAGTATGAGAAACAATTTTGGTATGATTTTTGAATTGTTGATATTTTGGTGTATTTTTAAAAGCACATATCAAATGAGTGCATTTTTTATTAGTTGTATTTGGATCAGGAATATATTTGGCTCCCATATTAAGAGCCTTTCTCCTAATATCATCTCTTTGTGGATTAACATAACCACTGAGAGAGAATGTAACGTCATTGAACAATTCTTTAAATGATCTTTTGACCGAAACGTGATTGCTTGCCTGTAAAGGAGCATTTTTAATAGATTCTTTGGGCTCTGGCAATCGTTGACAAGTTGTACATAATCGATCCTGCGAATCTGCACATTCAGAGCACTTTTGTTTTTTTCTTCCATTGAATTTTACATTTGGTGAATTATCCAACTTGATCAAAGGACGTTTCTTAAAATTTGGAGAATTCTGAGTAGTATTTTTTACATTATTTTTATTAGCATCAACATTATGTGGAGGCACAACGTCTCCAAAAGGAGTTCTCACTACTTTATCGTTTGATTCATTTTTAGTAATTTTGGGACTTTCATTAACGGTCTTATCTTTATCTTTTGAACATTGTGGTTGAGTCTTATCATTTTTTCCAAAAATTTGATCGGCTTCTCCAGCTTCTAGCTTTTCTAGTAGCGGCCTCTTGATAAGTTTTTGTTCTTGTTGACACTTAACAAAATTCTCCATTGAATCTTTTTTTATTTGCTCACGTAATTCTGTCTTGTAATTTGTCTTCATATTTTCTGTTTTATTAATGATTTTTTCTTTCATCATTTCCATAGGTGTCTTGACAACATGTGGTTGTTTCAATTTGAATTTGCCAAATGCATTTAAGCCTAAATCAATTGTAGGATCTGATCTCAAAATGATGTATGATAATCCAAACAATACTTTTAAATTGGCTGATTGCATACAAGTAACTTTGATTCGATCAAATTTAATCTTTAAAGTGTCTGGATTTAATTCTCTTTTAGTAAATAATTGAACTTGATCTTTGAATTTGTTATTTGCAGCTTCATCGTTTGTCATAAACTGATGGTTGATGATAACTATCCAATTGTCAGGTTCTGATGAGATAGATCCAGTGACAATCACCACGCAACTTTGATAATTGCCAACATCGACTCCCGTGATATAAGAAGGTTCAGCGAGTTGAAAGATGACATGTGCCAGCATTTCTCCCGGTTTGCTACATCGCCATGTGGCTTTCCAATTTTCTGAATTACGTTGAAGAAGATTGGCGGCAGGAAACTTTGGGTGTTCGGAGGAACAGCTTATTATCTTTTCGAATTTGACGATCATTTTAACAAACTCCTATAAGTGTATATCCTTGAAATGTTTTAAAACTCTCAGATTCTTTTCTGCTTACATTTTGCGAACTACAGAAAAATTATATATATATATATATATATATATATGTGTGTGTGTGTGTGTGTGTGTGATTCGTTGCAAATTCAAGATTGACAGGATACTGCAAGTGCCGCCAAAACTATCATATTTCGTACTGTACATATACACATGTCGACATTGACATAACCTATATTACGCGTGGTCGAGAAGACCAGCTGTTGGACAAATTACAAGAAAAGTTATGCCATCTATTGTCAAAGGTAAAAAACAATACATAAATATTTTTAAAAAAATTAGAAATATTTATATCTGCAATCGAATTTCTAACTAGTCGGTAAACAGGCGGTCTTTATTTTTTCTATTTTCAAGAATTAAAAAAAGATAGTAATAAAGATGTATCGGAGTCACTTTTACAAATATGTTAACATTTGTACTTTAAACAAACAGAATGTATATTTATATACATATATTCACATACATATAAAAGTTGTGTTCATAACATTCTGTTTTTATTGAATAATACATTTTTATAAAATTTAGATTCTTATTATTATTAAAAAAATTTTAGTTTATAACGATAAAAATAATACCAAATAAAATAAACTATAAAAATGTGTTTAAAAAAACAGAAACAAATATTTTAAAAACAAACAGAAATAATAAATAAAATACTATTCCATTCTCATTCGATTATGACTTATGATCTACTTAATGCTATAAATTCTTCAAAGCATTTTCTGATTGGTCAATTAATAAAATTCTTTCTTCCGATTGGTCAATCAAACGCTTCGAAGCAATTGTAGCACCAAGTAAATCCTATCCTATAAGATAAGAATACTCGACTGTGATTGGTCAATTCTTATAGATTATGATATACGTCATACAGTTATGACAAGTATAAATAATACTCCATTCGGTGTTGATGAAACCAACCCCAAATCTGTTCGATAATTGTAGATCCGAACTTAGGCCAATATTAAGGCCATTCTACATTGATCGTATCATAGATGTCGCAAGTCACAAACTTACCGCCTTAGAGCGATATTTATAGTCCATTCTTATTTCAAGATTGTTTTAAGTAATGTCTTAAGATGTTATACGGCCCTCTAATTGACTCATAATATCTTAAGACTGTACTTAACAATTTCAAATATAAGAATCGACTATGAATATCCGCCTTGAATATTGGCTTAATTAAAAGCTGCCAATATCGAAAAACAAAATAACCCTATTGAATAAGGAAAAATTCCGCACATAGGGATGTTCTGGGGAATTTGAAAATATTTTGTTCCAATTGCAGAATGACGCGACCCCTACGTGCAGATGACAAGATATTGGTGACGTCATTCGTTTATCGAACCGCTCGCGGTTCCTAACGGCGATTCTCGGAAACACGTTCATTCGATAGCCTCGATAGCCTGGACGATTGTCGTTGTCCTGTGTCCAGCGCTGACGACGGGCTTTAAGCAATATGGCGAAGTGTGTCACGGGAGGCTCGGTGTAGACAGTAGACGCAGTGTCGTTCGAAAGATGACAGGTTCGCGGTATGGGTTGAGAATAATGTGCAAATCGTGCGAGAGTAGACGTAATCACGTGCAGGCGTAATCGCGCTAAACGGTTTTTCGCGATCGTGTGATAGCGAGTGCGCGCGTTTACCGGTGTGCAAAAGTCATGGCTACGGATAAAATAAAGGTTGCCGTACGGGTCCGGCCATTCAATCGTAGAGGTACGTATCTTGTCGCTCTTTAATGTCGCGCTCTTTGACGCGCCACTTGACGCTGCGGGTTACGTCGCGTCGCGCGTTTCTGCAACGTTCCTTCGCTTTACTTCGAAGTTCGAACGGAGCTTCGCCCCGCCTCGCCACACTCCACTTCGTCTCGCCTCGTCTCGCCTCGCCTCGCCTCGCCTCGCTTTGCCTCGTTTTGTCTTATCTTGCCTCGTCTTGTCTCGTCTTGTCTTGCCTCGCGTCACGCGTGGCATCTCGGGGGATCAAAGGAGTCCAAAGACGCGCTCCACGGAAAAATGCAATTGACCCTCGCCTCTGTTGAATGCGGAACTCAACGAAGCGACAGGCATACAGTTTTCGTTCAATCGTTTTCGTTCGTTCCACTCTCATGTTGCCACTCTCTCGTTTTTGTTTTATCGAGTCTTGGACGGACGGTCGCGATTAGCCGCGCGAAGGATTAGCAGGATCGAAGATCATCATCGCCAAGTCGCAAAACGACATTTAATGTTTACGAGATTTGAGATGCTCATCGCAATATGGGTGCTTTCCATTTGACATAAGTCGACACTAGTCGACACTAGTTTTCTGTCTTTGTTATTTGCTGAATGTCAAGAAAGATAAAATGATGCTTGAACTGACTTGTGTCACCAAATGGAAAGCACCCATACGTTTGTGCTCCAGCTATTTGGCACTAAACGTAGCTATCCGATTTTCATTTCGTCATTAATTATGAAGTTCAAGATGATTCACTATGAAAGTCGCTTTACGTCACCGTCACGCGTAGAAAAAATTCAACACGAGTTTCGTTCGTATTTTTTATCGAGCGTTAAGTGATACGATTTGCGTCAACGTTAAACCATGTTAAACAAACGATAGTCTGCGAATCGCAGGTCTAAATTAACCCAATCGCGATTCAAGGTAAATCTGACTTTTTACGAGGGAGAGGGTTGTCACCATAAAAGTGAAATTATTTGTAATTAAGTAGGATTATTCATGAAAAGTCACAAAAATCTAAATTCACGTGCAAATTCAAATTAATTGGAAAAGAAAAACTATCAGAAGGGTCAAAAATGGCACAATCGCAGTTCTGATGTTAAAGATTATGGCACACAAAAATTAAAGCAGTAAGCAAATCAATGTTTTAAACGATCATATGTATCTTGAAACAAGGTGAAAATTACAAAAGTATGCAAATTTACTAGATGTTGACCAAAGAAATTACAAATATTTTAGTAAATTCGTTCACTTTTGTCATTTTAAGATGATCACACAATTGATCTCCACCTTACATTATTATTTTATGGTCTCTACTGTGACTGGCCTACGATTCGCTTACGTTTTATTGCTTAAATTTTGTGTGTTTATAGTCTTAATTCGTGAAATCCAGCGAGATCGAGTTAAGACTACACACAAAAAAGAGCTTAATCGGTAAAAAATATAAGTAAGTCGATTAATCAATAGAAACCATGAGACAATAAACGTAAATTGTAGCAAATCCAAAATTTGCTTATGTCTTGCTGCTGGAGTTTTTTATGTCACAGCCTTCAGTCAAATCCAAAGAGATCCGAAAAACAACTTGAAAAACCACTTTCTCCAGATTGCCAATTGTCAAAACACATCGAGAATATTATCTTCACGATGAGAAGACGCGACACGATTATTCGAGCGCGCGAAAAAAAATTTTTTTCGCCGTTAAATCCTTGAGATTGGAATTTAATTTAGAACAAAAGCAAATAGACACCGCCGACGCGTCAAGTGCGTGACAATACGCGAGAATCGCACCGCGAGGACGCAATCGAATAAAACGCCACGTTCCGGTGACATTAGTCCGATGACCTTGGATTATCGATCCAATCAGAGGAAACATGTTTTCCGGGATATCTTCGATCGAGGACTAATTTCCCGATTCGCGCAAGGTCGAGAAATTGCGTATCGTTACTCACGTTAAAAGACGTTGAAGTGATTTTCCAATTGTCATTAAATTATCATACCATACATCGCGCTTATGCGACGTCGCGGCGTTGGATTCACAATCAGATCTTTAATCAGAATCTTTAAATTATACGTATACATAGCATGTATTACGTTGAGACGTGATTATGTGTTGTGTGCGCGTTCATCGACTCTCGCGTATCATATTATTTTATTATTATCCAGAATAATGACATGCTCGTACGTATACGATCGTACGCTGGCGTCATCGTGTCACCTGCGTAACACCTGCACAATGAATATGCTCCCGTCCTGTCAAGTCTTTTAGTGTTGACTTTAACGCGAGCGACGAGTGATGGCGAGGTGCTGGAACGAAAACGGAGTAACGCGATTCTATCATAGGGTTACGTAATTTTCCCTCTCTTTTTTCCACGTGTTAATCGTCAAACTTTCGCGCTTGTGAGATTTAATTTACGATAACTTGTTGCCCGATACTTGCTTTTGTTATCTATCAATCAAATTTACAATTTTTCTTAATCTCTCCTTTCTTTTCTACGACTATTTTTTTCCTACGATTATTTTTAAAAACTGTGGTAACATATAAATAACTTATTATCTATATGTATTGTATATACTGAGAGAGAAAAGTGTTTACTGTGTTTAAAATGACTGTAATTGCATGGTAAAATAATTATGAATAGGAGTTCCATTTTTTATGATTATTACTACTGTAATATTAATTTAATTTTATATATATATATAGTTCTCTCAAATATGAAAAAATTACCATAAATTATGATAATTTCAAATATTAATGTACTAAAATATCAAGATATAAATGATAAATGAAATAAACATTTTTTATTTAGTGAATGCAATTCGCAATTATAACAAATATAACTATTTTCTTAAATTCGTTTATTATTTATGTGATAATAATAACTAAAAAATATGTTAAGATAAAACTAAAGATTTTCAAGCAGCGTGTGTGATTGTTATTAATAGCACAATTGACTATATTTGCGTAGATAAAACAATTATAAATATATTCTCGTATAATTATAATATGATATTGAACCGATGAGAATAAATCTATTTATTAAGAAAAATCTCATTTTTTTCTTTCTCGGTTAAAGCAAAAATATTTAAGCATCTTAAATATTCCGGTGTGAATTTATATGTATATTCAATTCTGCAAATCGCGCTTCGATATCTTTTTTCAAACGCGATCATGAACAGAATTGGTAATATCACATATTAAATTGACAAGCAATTTAATAATATTGATGCTAATGAGCGTCTTATAAGAATATTAATAATTTGACGTTAATAAAAAATTTAATATGTGATATTACACTGAGAAAAATATCCTAAATTTAAATAAATATTTATTTGAATAGTGCGAACTGAAATTTACTTACAGTAAAAAAATATTTACTTAATTTACTTAATAAAAAGAAGAAATGATAGTTAGATTAATGATTTTTTGTACCAAATAAATATATACTTTATATTTTATACTAATAAATATTTAATTGGTACTATTTAAATAAATGAATTAATAAAATTTAGTATTTTTTTCATTATACTATTCTAGTTTTATTCATGATTGCGTTTCCAGATTGAAAACAATTTCGGCGCGCAGTTTGCAGAGGAAGTGTATAAATTCACACTTCCGCTTTGATCGAAAAATAGAATTTCTCTTACTCATAAATATATAGTTGTCCCAAAAAATGACGATAAATTACAGTTAAATATGGCAATTGGAACTATTTTTTTCTCTCAGTATACATGTAACTTTTACTTTTATGTTGAAAATAATAGTGATGTTGAAAGCCATTGGCATAATACATGAGAAATATAAGTATGTAATTGGTATTTTTAGAAAGTCGAACATGTGCATTGCACTTTCGATTTTTTTAGTGATTTTAACGATACGAGGTGTAATTACAGATAATAATTTATGAACGATATTTAAAGATAGATTTTCGTACAAGTGTGTAAAATCTAACAATAAGAATAGGTTGGACTTGGATGGCATTGCACTCTATTACCGCATATCATTTCTTAAAACATTCGATGTACTTGTTATAACATGGTGTAACGTTCTACGTGACGTCGCTTGGGCATACAAAGAAGCCATTTACTTTCTACCTAGTTTTATGAGTCATCACCACCTTCTTTCTTAATCGTAGATATACCGTCCCGGTCATTTCCCTGCCTTTAACTGGCTTTAATGATTTCATATTATCAAGATAGCGCAAAGGTTACGCGAGAATGTAATCCGAATAATATTGCCCTCATTCTTGGCCCTATTCGTCCTTCGATAAGTCGCTCTATATCGTATAAATGATTTATTTCGCCAAAGATAGTAGTGCAACGATACGAAATGGCGAGCGCAAGAAATTCATTGGAGAAAGTGCACAGAGAGAAACGGTCTCTTGAGTAAACTGACCCGATTAAATACTATTTTGATGAGAAATAGGAGAATAATGGCGCTTTTATTTTTATATTCCAGTTATAATGTTTTTATTTTACAAATAAATACAGATAGTACTGTGTAGAGCAAGAATTAAGCAGAGTTACAAAATTATACGATATTCTTTATATTCATTTTTTTATCATTGAATAATCAGGCGAGAAAAATATATTCATCGTAACTAACTATGTATTATTAAAAATAAATATAAACGACACGTAAAGTTCCTATAGTTGAAATGAACGAGAAAAGTTCTTCGTAAAGATTGTTTTTATGTCTGTGCATACAAAGTGCAAAGTCTAGTCATATAAATAAGAAACAGATTCTCGCTAAAAGATCATCGCTCGATTTTTTAAATTTTATGATTTTACTTTTCTTCTTTTGTCTCACATCGAGTTTATGTCTTTATGTCTATTAGTTGCATATTTAATGCCTGTCGACTTGAATCGATTTTGCGAATTCTCAAACTTTTGCGTAGTTTATCTTATAGTACCATCGAGAAAAAGATCTGCTTTCAAAATTTCTTCGAGTACTGAGGGTTTAAGATATACATATGTTTTTAATATTTTCTTTTTATAAGAATAAAAAAGAGCAATTTTACTGAAAGAAATAAATCTTAATTGTCATGTTTCATATTTCTATGTCAATAAGAAATCGTGCAGCTAAATTAATTTATTGTTTTATTTATGATAGTCGATAATTTTTATTTATGATATAGAAAAAAGTAATGGAGTTTTGATACACTAAAAAAAAAAATAAATTTTAATAGATATTTGTTTGAATAGTTCTAAATAAATATTTATTAAATGTAAACATATGTTTATTTCATACAAAAACCATTAATTTGATTTAACTAACTTTTTTTATTGAGTAAATATTTAGTTATTATAAGTAAATGTTTACTTAGTAAAAGAAATATGTATTAAAATTTTTTTCAGTATGGATGGAAATTGTACAAACGCTATCAAAGTGACGAACTTATCTAATTCTATTAAATTGTCATCAAAGATCGATCTGGCATATCTGCTATATTTTTGTTCTTTTTTCTTCCTTTTGATATTAAAGCTATCGTAAAGACAATTGATACCATCTTATTAATTTCTTCTTAATTTTTATTTATTTCATGCTTAATTTTTAAACCATCAATGCCTTCTCCCAAGCATACATTTTTGTGCCTTTTCACATTGAATATCAAATTATCCGACTTTGGTGCAACGTATAATCATGATTTATAATAGCGTAAGCTCATCTTATTACTAAAACTTGGTAACTATTGAGCGATCTTATTACGCTGAGTATCTTATTGCGCTATGTATGCGACGACACGTTCTACAGTTGATCAAAAGTCGCGTAAGTTCTTGCTGCGTTGTCACATTTAATAAAACCTTGCTCAGTTTCATCAAATTTTTTAACAATGAGGAAGACATAATTATGTAAATACAGGATATTCGGATTGAGAAAAATGTCTGATTGAAAATGAACGAATCAGAAGATTCTGATTATATCAATCAGAACTCCGTTCAATTAAAATTTTAATATATTTAACCAGAAAATTCTGATTCATCCATTTTTAATCAGAATTCCAATTAACCAGACATTTTTTTCACTACGTATTTCGCGACTGATTCTTGCGTAATATTTAAACAATTATCAGTCGATATGGCTATATTATTTGAATACGCAATAACGATGATAAAAAGAATGTGAAGTAATATATTATACTTGATTTGATCTAACATGGATATACGCAGAGATAACGCAAATAACCTGAATCATTTTTATCCCGATTAATTTTTTTTTCTCATTACAGAGCTGGAACTCTGTACACAATGTGTCGTCGAGATGACGGAGCAGCAAACCATCTTGCAACATCCTACCACAATGGACAAGATCGATCGGTGAGTAATTTTCGATCTTTCCATTTACTTGCACTGTTCATGTTTTCAGGACGTATGAAGACAGACTGCAACATAAAATTATCTACAGAATTTGATTTCTGTATATGACACTTATCTCTGACAAGAGCGGATGCGTTGAAGCAACAAAATACGATAATATTTTGAAGAAAGAGTCTGGAAAAAAGGCTTTCTATATTGTCATTCTAAAGTGTTAAAGCTACGGACTGCAAGTGATAACGTCGAAAGCGTGTTTGTGCCGGATAATTAAAGTACATATTCTTATCACATTTTAGATAAAATTGTCGTCTCCACAGTGATTGGATTACGACGGTTTCAATGATATGGCATAAAATTAAAAATATGAATTACGCTGTGGCAGTTTTATTAGATGTTTTCATTTTCACTCATAAGGTAAACAAATCAGTTAGTGGACATGATTCGATTATTGGACAAAATGATAATTTTAAATATTAAACTTTTAATGATATATAATGACTCTAAATAAATTCGTCTTATTAAATTTTTATAAACAACGAATTTATTTAGAGTCGTATCTATTATTAACTTAATATTAAGAATTTTTCAATAATTTTATCCAATAATTTGATCATATCCACTAATTATCTACTGGTACATTTATCTACTGTTAAACCTGTAGTGTCAAATTTTACCTAATTTAAGTCACCACTGCACCTACTAAATATATTGCTATTTTATACTAATAAGATAATTAAATTTGACATTATATAATGTCAAATTTAACCATTATTTTAGTATAAAATAACGATATATTTAGCAGCAGTGATGACTTAAATTAGGTTAAATTTGACACTATAGATTTAATATGTAGTGTTATATCTTACGTCATGATATTCGAATAAATTTGGATCAATGCATGCTTTAAGATTATGAATATACCAACATACACATATGTAACGGAAACTGTCTACATATTCGATACTTGCATGCACGTTGGTTCGTTTGATACTACATTATCTTCGGATACAGAAGTGTACTGAACTTGGCACGTACGTAGGGTGGACGAACGAAAGATCGAAATTCAAATCGAATTTCACCTAATTTTCGCGTTGTTTCGTGTTGGTCAGTCGCGACATTTTTACGAGTACGTTACACGATCGATGAAATGTCACGCTATTTTTACAACACGATGACTCGTGATGGCGATAGCGATATCGTCTTATGCGCGGATTTTTATTCTTGCTCTGCAGGTGATGTAACAGCGTTATATGCGCGAATTACGCACGTGCTGTTGAATCGATGAAAGGTCGCGGCGTATATCTATGATGTATGTACGCAGATGATCCTAATCGCGCGGGAGTATCGATAAGATTCTATTTAGTTCACATAGGTATGGGATGATCTGATCAACTCCAAGGTTCTTCAGTCTTTTCGCATAATATAAAGATTCGATCAAATATTGAGAATAAACTTGTAATTGATATAAGCATTCTTGAATTTTTTCAAATTTTTTGACCATATAGTTTTCTTTAAATAATTTTTTTAGGTAACTTAAATTCATATGAGAAGAAGGATTTTAAGTAATTTAATTGTAAACAAAATATAAGCATTTTGAAAAGTTATATAGACGATAAAAGAATAGAGCTTAAAGAATATTTTAGAATTAAAAAAATAAAGTTTTATTTTTAATCATTTTCGTATATATAAGAGTATAAAATTTTCATGAATTAATCAATTCTCTTTGAATATGACGCTACATTAGTGAAATATCATTTGTATCAGAATTATCAATATCTAAATTAAATTTAAATAATTACTATAATTTTTCTCTTTAATATTTTCTACATAAATGTTTCATTTTTTTTACGAAAAAAATATTTTTCAATAAATTATTATTTTACGGCGCGCTTAAATTTTATTTATTATTTATTCTTTAGAAAATGGCGATAGTATTTTGTATCCTTTGTGTTCTCGTGTGAAGATAAGAAAAGTCACGTGACTCCTCTCTACTTTTTTAAGCTTCTTAACTTAATCCGCTGATTAAATTTCAGAATTGCCAACTGCAAAATTAAAAATATCCTGATTTTATGACAGCTGTGAAGAATGATGTAATGTGGCATTCCTTTTTCTTTTTTTTTTTTAATTAAAAAATGATTAATTTTAAATAGTTGAATAAAGGCTTTAATACACAAAAATATAAGCAGTAAGACGTAAGCAATGAAGCCAGAAACACATAGAAAAACAGAAAGCAGTAAGATGTAAGCAGTAAACGAATTGGCCCATCACAATAGAAAACATAAGACAATAATGTTCTCTATTATAATGGTAGATCCAGAATTAAACACAAATCCCCTTTTTGGGTTTGTTATTACTGTTTATTGTTTTACGTCTTTATCGTATTTGGTCAATTTGCTTACTACTTACATTTTATTATTTTATATTTTTTTTGTGCCATAATCTTAACTTTATATATAAACTTTTGCAGTAATATCTTTACAATGCGAAGCGATCACTGTTGTCACTTTCGAGAACGCAACTTTTGAAACGACATTTAATCTTATACACAATACTCTAAATAAATTTTATTTATTTTTAATTTTAATTCAAATTATACTTGATTTTCTATGAAATATTATATTTACCCTGTTAAATTTATAATGTTAAATTTAATCTAAATTTATAGTATTAAATTTAAGTCGTTACTGCTTCTATTCATCATTGTCATTATTTTATACTATCATTATTTTATACTAAAACGATTTAAAACGATTAAATTTGATATAATAGTGTCAATTTTTTTAAGTATAAAATAATGATATATTGAGTAAGAGCAGTGACGACTTAAATTAGGTTAAATTTGACATTATAGATTTAACAGTATAGCAAATGGTTTATTTAATTGCAATAGATTTATTCGTTTAACGATTTTTCACGTTACGAGTGTCCTCGGTTTATATGCAAATTATCGAGTTACTGTCACGCATATCACGACGCATGCAACAGAGTATCGTCTAGTTTACTAGGTCTTATTAAAAACGATTCGTTATGAGTGATTGCTCCCGTATGATTATACCAGTATAATTATCGACATGAAAGAGTGCGCGCGCATAATTTACTTAGCACATGCGATAAAGTCATCGTATCGTATTTCGTAGACCCAACGAAAAAGTGAGTCACATCTATTATGAATACTCATATAACTACAAAAGTAACAATAAAAGAATCATATAATACCATAAAATATTATATGATTCTATGAATAAATAATCATATAACTACATATATATGTATATATATACATACAAATATATATACAAAGTAGTATAAAATAAAATTAAGGAGCCGATTCTGTAACTCTTAACGATAGTCATTGATGTCGTTGCGATCAACGACTGTCATTAAGAGTTACAAAATCGATCTCTTAAATGCCATTATTAGTGGTTTGCTAATGTTGATATTGTAAGGAACTATTTACATATAATTTTTATGTTTTAAAGGGACACAGAAAAGCTTTATATTTATAAGAACAGTGCAAATGACTGCAATGTTTGACTTAACTATTATATATCATGTTAAAGAATTACTAAGTGCTTATTGGATGATAGACCAATTAGATAAAAAATAAAAATTAGCAAATAAGGGCGAATCAGATTTCCATTCCAGTGCTCTCTAGGTCAATCAAGTTATCCTTGTTTAACATTCGATGAGCAATAAGGATAAAATGACACCTGGGTGGCATTTGGGTGGAAATCTGAACATAGCCTAAGAAAATGCGGAGAGAAAGTAGCCAATAAGAAAATGCGATTGTTGGCATGCTTCGAAATAAAAACAATGTGCTACGTACTCTTATAAATATAGAGCTTTTTTTAGTAAGTACGCAAGCGTGACTCTGAAAGATGGGAAAATCAGAGAAAATGGTCTCAACATTTCTCAACGTTTTACAGTATTATATATCTCTTAACATATAGCTTATCGTGTTGCTAATATTAATCACGTATAATTGCGTTATAATGTTATTTCTGAAATAGATCTCTCACAATAAGGCGAATATCGTGTTATTTGAATAAATTCTTAAGCACGCGAACGACGTCAGGTTTTGCGTTTACTCTCGAATGTGTAATTTCTCAACGAGTTCTCAGCGAGTCATCTTATGTATCTGTTGCATCCTTTATTACTGAAAGAACGACATTGGCTTTTCGAGGAATTATCTTCTCTCTCGTTTCTCGCATTAATGTGCGTACGTATGATTCTTATGGAACTGACAATTCTTGTCGAACAGACCCTAATGAATTTTACAACGCGTTTCAACTTTTTTTATTTATTTTATCTTCAGTTAAATTTATTATATCTTCAGTTATCACGGTATGGGAATATTATAAATGAGTCATCGATAACATATCTGTATCTATTTTTTTCAGCTATTTTAAATAATTCAATCCTATTAATTTCAATACTAACTTTACATATTTTTAGAAGGTTTAGTTGACTTAATCATAATGAATTTGAATCTTCATCTTTTGAATGATTATGGAAAAAATAGTCATCTATACATAAAAAAATTAAAGGATTATGTATATATATTTATATATATACATATACATACATATATATACATATATTTATTATATATACTTATTCTACTTTCTAAAAATAGACAATTTTTAAAAGAATGTAATTTTGTAAAAAATAATGAGATGATTAAAAAAACATTTAAAGCTTAATGTCTTTACTTTTCATATCGATAATTTAGATAATTTAGATAGATGTGACTATTTTTTTACAGAACTACACGGAAATACAATAAATGGAGATCCGTCAAATCTCAAGATTTTTTTAAATCTTTGCAAAATTTCATGGCGTAAAAAACTGCACAAAACAGTTTTCGAAAAAGTGAATCTATCTTTAATTTGTACTTGTTGAGCATTGTATGATTATTTTTACGTTACTGAACATTGAGATAAAAAGTATCTTTTTGATTGCTCACAGAAGACGAATGAAGTAACGCTCGGTATTCTTTAAAA